TGGATAATTAAATTAAATAAATTCTAATAAGTTGAATAAAATATAAAAAAACTTCAATTATTTCTTCAAAAAATCTCAAGATTCTGTTATTCTTGTGCGCAGATTGATGGTGATACTAGGTGCGTTATTTGTAACACTACCAGAATTTTGGGTCTATTAATAAAAATTTTTAAAGATCTGTTATAGTTTTTTACTAGTATACATATAATAAATTTTAAATTTAAAATCCGTTATATATGTCTATTATATCGATAGTTGACTGTATCAAAGTTATGTTTTTTGTATATTAAAAGTTCCATAATATTGCAGTATTAAGCAAAATAACAATAAAAAAAATATTTGTCCTTACACATGATATAATATCTTGAAAAATCACCAGAAATTTTTAGCACAAATCTCATATGTATGCATGTTGTATTGGTACATTATGTTCAGAACAGGTCAGATCTAGTGTAGCTTATCAAACTTTTTTTATCGTCTTCATGTTATATTTATAAGAAAAAGTAGGGCTTTGCATTTTAGGTAAATATTTAAGAATTATATAGACTTTTTTTTTTTTGAATGATATAAAAAGTTTGAGTAATTGACTCTTCAAATCATCATTAATTTAGATAGTTTTGATTCTTGTGATTTGTGCTATCAATTATCATGGTCAAATATATGTGTGTATAGTAATCATGTCACAAAAAATTGGTAGTCCCGTGTAAAGATGCTGGTGAAATAGAGTGGTAAAATAATTTCACCACTTAGATTTTATTTCACCAGCATCTTTAATTATAATAATTTTATTCTATCTTAATAAATAACATATGAATACGCAAAAAAAAAGGAAAATAAATAAATTTATGAATTTTTTTATAACTTACGCCAATCTGTGCCAAATTAAAATAAATATTGTTATGTATATATAATGCAAATTTTAATTTGATATTGTACAGTACTGAGCGGTGATAGTCAATAATAGTCACACTAATAATAATCAACACACCAACGCTACTAAAACTATTCTAGGCCACAATTAAGATTTGGTCTGACTAATTAGAGTCTTAGATTAGAATTCTATATCAAGATCACAGAGTTTAGGTGAAAAGGCTCATTTTGACAATTTTCAAAATTTTCTTTTTATTTGATTTTTGAATAGATATACATTCAATAAAAAGTTTGCTATAGATTACGAAAGCTAATTATAACATAAGATTTGCAAAATGAATTTAGCAGTCCCAGCTTGCACTAAGTGTTAGACTTACTTTATTTAAATTATCCTCCACTAACAATTTTATAAAATCAGATCATATTCTTTTCTCTTTGATAAGATCCTCGATCCTAATAATATAAAAATGATCCAAGAGTTAATCCAGTTTGCACTAAGCGTCGAACAAGCAGTTTATCACTATGGACTCAGTCCCAGCTTGCACCAAGTGTCGAACAAGCAGTTTGTGACTTACGACCTGACATCACTTATGACCGTTATCCCAGCTTGCACTAGGCGTCGAACAAGCAGTTCATCACTTACGACTGTAAGCTCAAGGTTGCACTAAGCATCAAACAAGAAGTTCATAACTGTTAAATTACCTCTTATCTTATTTAGAATTAATCTCAAGCTTATGTTGATATTGAATTATAGATAAGTCATGTAATCTGAAATTTTTTTAAAAACATCTTTAGCTTTGATATCTTCTAATATGAATACAGATTTATTTATTTGCCCTATTAATTCTTCCTGCTTCATGATTTCACTCTAATAAAAAATAAAAAATAAAAAAAATACAAACATATAAATACTCTAGAAAAATTGAATAAGAACATAGATTATTTAATATGCATACATGAAATTTTGCTATCACCTTTAAAATGGGCTTATATTGACTCATCCAAGGAAGCTAAAGAGTATAGTAGTGGTAGAGAGTTCGCCTCGCCAGCTTGCCACCTACTCGGATAACAAGACCTGCCGTCCGGAAGCATGTTCAAAGAGTATAGGATCATTTTAGTTCTTGAAGAAAATTGAGGTAAGGAGTTAGTGTTTTGGTCAATAAAATCTAACGCCTCGCAATAAGAAATTTTTTTACGAAAGAGAGAAAGTTGAATTATTTATAATTTTACCAATGACTGTTGTCTACACACGCATTGCGTGATGACAATAAAATTGTTTGATCAGATATAAAAACAGCCTAAATTCAGAGTACCCTAGTATGATAAAATCTTAAAAAGGAAACAACCAACCAGGATTTTATTTTGATTATTCCATATCAGCCCGACATGAATTCCAAATGCGTGTAAGGGGGCATCTGTAATTCACGTTAAACTACTACACAATGTCATTGTGGGGGTTTTGGGACAGTTAGACTTTTACTATATCAGGATCATTTTCTGGAGGCTTCTAAAGC